GGATTTCCTTCCCCCGGCTTCTCATTCCTATACAACCCTGCCATTTCAGCCATGCGTTCTCTTAGTCTTACTCTTCCTCTCCCTCTTCCACGCTCGCCTTCCCCTTCTCTTTCTCTCCCCCTCTCCTCTCCTGGCCAAGTACAGTCTACTGGCCATGTTCAATACACTACTTTCTCTCTCTCCTGTGGACTTTCCTTCATACCTACAATAAAAACCTCCTCGACCACACCTTGGAGCAGTCATCTTCCCAGTTTATACATCTGATGTCAAAACTCTCAGTTTAAATGGAGACAGGGTCTCATTGTGCTGGCCGGAACTCACTCTGTAGACCAACCTATGGCCTTGAACTCAGAGACCCATCTCCTTCTGCCTCCCAAGTGCTTAGATGAAAGGCATGCCTAGCAGGGCATGTTTTAGAGTTGGAGGAAGAGAAAGACCACGCTAATTTAATCAGCCTTGCTCACATTTTACAGGAGAAATACAGAAGCCTCAACTAGGTTGAAAGATTACTACAACAAGTAAATGAGGAAGGTATAGATAATTGCCTACCTACCAGGACCTGGAATTCTCCCCCAGATTTCTGGACACCACACATTGCTCCCAGACCAAGCAACTGAATTGTTACAATGTAAGAGTAAAGCAAGGGGCCTTGAATCATGAATACCAGAGCAATGCTGCTTTGTGCGCTACACAGTCAAAGCCTCCTTTATAAACCTTTAGCTGGAGAATTTGTTCTGAGATCCTGGAAAGTCCATGCCATTGCTCTCCTTTTCATTGTAGAGAGGCTATAAAACATCACTTGGGCATCTTTATAATAGTCTCTTCCTAGCCATTTCCTTAATGAATAAATTAACATGTCTGCTTGAGGAAACCAAGGAGCACTTTGTGCTGAAGTTGAAGACAGTTGCTGTGTGCTCTACTATCAGGAACTATGCTTGACAAGGCCTGGGGCTCAATTTCTATACGCAAACACAGGCTTCTTCTCCTTTTTCTTTTTGGTAACTGCTGTAGAGCACCTACTATGGGTCATATCGTGGGTTGGTTCCCAGATGAATGTGGAAGAACCAAACTGATATACAATTCTCACCTAGCAAGAAGTTAAGAATCTAGCAACAGCTAGTCCGGAGAAAGGAAGAGTAACCCGGCACTACAGCAAGCCCTGATAGTGGGAGATGAGGGACAGTATCTCTAAAATTGTTACTGATATACCTTCAATGTAAGCCAAAAGCAGTGACATGAATGGGGAAGGAGCAAGAACAAAGAAGCTGTCGTCTGTCTATGTATTGTGCTGATCCAAGACTTACTATCTGAAAGTATGCATTTAAGGGCAGAGGAATGCCTGACGCAAACATCACACAGGCAAGATGTGACTGTGTCAATAATACAGGCAGTAGTACTAGCTAACACTTCCTGAGAAATTAATACAAGCCTGCTACCATTGAAACTCAGTGCTCTTGGCGATTCTTACAAACACTCAAATATTTGAAAATAGCTCTCAAGAATGCAATGATGGATTTATCACCAACAGGCCATAACGCAACATGACTGGGTCAAGCATGGCTTCTGACTGTGTTAATAAATTTGTTCATCATGTAATAATCATCCAAAAACCCACTAGCAAGATAAAACTCAGACCTTGACAACAACCTGATCTAACCATAGCTCCAATTCAAGGTCACTATCATCCTCTATTCTTACTCCTTCATTTTCTTGCAACTACCTATCTTTGCTCAAAGTAGATTACGTTAGTCATTTTTACCTTAAGACAAATAGCTTTCAGTGTGAATATGATTTCTCAGCCCTTTTTCCCCTAAACTTCGCTGGTGGTGTTCTTCACTATTCACTACATGCCTGAGTTTCTCAGTGTCTGTGACAGGCATTCATTCAGTTGCTTCCAGGTTTCTGCTACTGAATATAACACTACATGAATATTCATACCCATGTGCAAACTCATACCCACATGAGCAAGGTCATTAAACCTAAGCGTGAAACTGCAGGCTCCAGAGTTTGCAAACTTTTTACTTCCGAAGGTAAAAGCCTCACAGAATATGTCTACTCACAGTTGAGCCAACAGTGCACACAGGATCCTGGAACCCGCATGTTCACCAGTCATACTTGGGGATTAGATGGAAGCTCTCTGTGTGCGAGTGGAGAGCAAAAGATGCAGACTGGACATGGCCAGGGCAATCTGGGAGAGAAGGAAGGCTAGCAAAGGTAGAGGAAAATACCTTGCCTTTATAAATGGGGTGAAGGAGCTAAAACAGCCTGGGGGAATTAAGCAGGGCCAGGAGGCTAGCGTGGGGCTTTGAAGTGTCTAACAGGTACTTGTGAATAAGGAGTGAGGAGGTCTGGAGACCACTATGGGCTTGGATACCCCACCATAGGTGTATGTCACTGGAGGATCATGTGTCCCTTCTGCCAGAGACAAGGGAAATGATTCCTTTTGGGAGCCGGGAAGCTGTTTTATAAGTTCCTGAAGAATGCTGGCTTTTATTTAACCACCAGAAATACTTCTAGTCCAGTTTGCGCTGATGTTTCTGGACATACGTCCTTCCAGTGCCATGCCTGCATAGCTGCCATGTCCTCTGTCACTGTACATTGAGCCCCATATTAAATGCTTTCTATTATAAGTTGTTTTGGTCATGATGTCTTTTTTTTGGGGGGGGGCTGGCCTTGAACTCATGGAGATCTGCCTGCCTCTGCCTCCCAATTGTTAGCATTAAAGGTGTGAGCTGTTATGCCTGGCTGGTCATATTGTCTTATGGCAGTAATAAGAAAGTAACCAAGACATCATGTCTGCATAGTGGCAGGAGATAGCTATGCATTAAAGTCTTATTTAGTCTTTTCTAAACTTTCATGTCATTTCTAGTAATATGTGTGAACTGTTTTTGTTTTTTAATATATACAATCACATCACCGAACCATTCAATTATCACAATTTGCAGTTCAGAAATGAGATAGACACAGTGACTATGGGAATCAGGATTTCAGACCGATATTTATAGTCTATGTTCACTGTAGCTTTACAACAGCCAAGGGGTGGAAACGATGCCTGTTTATAATGAATACACAGAGGCCCTAAAGTGGAATATTATTCAATCATAATAAAGGAAATTATGTCATAGTCAACAACATAAACTTTAAGGACACTGAATGCTACAAAGCCCAGGCAGTGAAGCAACAGAAGGAGGGGAAAACACGAGGTGTTGGGGAACAAGAAGATGAGAGCAGCTGTTTGGAGGGGACAGAGGGGACACTCACAGTCACGAGGCAGGAGGATCCCAAGATAAGATGCACTAGAAGCACACGACGCACACCCGTGTGCTATGTGCCAGAGGCAGCACTCATGTGCTGTGTTTTATGTCACAATTTCAAAACAACAGGTCGACAAACTGCCACCCACCAACGCAGCCAGCAAGTGCTGGCACTGAGATGTAAGTCCGCCTTGCTGTATACACTCCTTAGTCTTAGGGAAGCCATATACAAATAAGGAAATGCAACTACATTCTCTCCTACTCTTATGTGGAGGAGAATACGGTAACAATGTCAGATCTGAAGGACAAAGAGTTAAATACTTAATTCTTTACATTTCTCAAACCTAATGTTTTTTTTTTTTAATTTTTCCCAATTCCTCTTGTTTTCATCAGAGGATTAAGTTATTTAAAATCTACTGCCAGAAAAAAATGTCATTTATCTTTTACTCAAAGGGACTTTATAAACATTTAAATGAACTGTTAAGCACTGCACAGGGCTTGACAGATAACAGGCAATTGCCAAAGACAGAAACCAGCTTTTAGAGCTAGTCATTAGGCTGGGAATAGGTACTCAAAACTTTAAGAACACTGCTAGATTGCTTAGTGGGCAGGCCTTAGGCTGGGCTGCAGGTAAAGGGAAGACTCCAGAGAACAAGTCTTTTGTTTTACTGTTAAAGAAACACAGTTATTTTCTAGTATCATAATATTTTTTCCATCTTAAAACCTTTCAAATTCAACTTACTGCTTGACAGACGCTGGCATTTCTAGTCTGGGTTATTCCTCCCACGAAGACCACGCAGGTCAGGAAAATATGGAAGCACAAGTTCACGAGCATGTGCCAGCTCTTGAGACTGATGCGGATCAAACTGTCAGGAAAAAGGGGAAGGTGAACACTGCGACACTGGTAGCAGGTCTCTGACCTCTGACGAGCACCTACAGGTTAAGGCCAGCTGCATGAAAGGTGACATTTCAATGCTTCAGTTTTAAAAGCCTTACTTACTGGACATGTACAATAAATACACATACACACAAACAACTTGAGGAACCATTGGCCTACCATTGTTTCTTAACATTTAGCCTTATGTGTTAAAAAGACATTTATGGAATCACAGCACCCACTGAAGCTATACAATTCTCCACCGTCAGAAGAACATGGACAGCTGTCACTACTGATGTCTAAGAAGATTGGCTTACACTTAGCGATGTGGAGATGTCTGCAGCGTGCTGGTGGGTTTTGGTCCTGACAAAGGATGATGGCACATATGGCCTAGGTACCCAGTGCCTTTCCTCCTGACCTTTTGTAATGAAGTGCTGAAGCCTTTCTTTTTCGTTCCTTTTTTAATACATCAAAATCACCTTTTGTTTCCAAAGCAAATGTCAAGAAATGCCATACATGTCCAACTTAAATAGGAAAATACGTTCCAGCAGAATCTTTTGTAAAGTGAGTTTCCTGCTTCACAAATCCTTTTAGTTCATTGCTTCCAATCACAATGTAAGTTTCCATAACCGTGTCTCCAATTAACAGAAAGCAAATCCTCTATGAAAATGTCACCAACTTTCTTAAAAGTGTCATCTTTAAAGATGTCAGGACATTGAAAAAGTTGTAAATACAAGTACAGACAGTCTACTACATAGAGATACCTCTGCAAGGACTTCTACAGGTGACAAAACCATTCTCCTTCAGGCCCTCTTGCTCCTGTGCCCACCACCCCAGCCTCGAACACACACTCCTATCTTCTCTTCCAGGAACCCCAGGAAAGTGGAAAGGAGAAAGTGTCCTTAACAGAATAAAGGATGAATGAGAAAATTCTTCAGGGTTGAAATTAGCTCTGGATATCCTGGATGGGCATGAATGAAGACTTTGTGCAGTCTGTGGTAAGCATTCTTAATTTGTAAGGGCACCACTGGTACCATAAACAAATGTGAAATGAAGTCCTCCAATCCAAGGTCACAAATCTATAATGGTCAGGTGCACTCTCTTACCTGTGGTGGTACATGTAACTGATGATGACAGCCAAGAGACACAGGAGGAGGATGGTGGCAGTAGTATAAATCACAGGATGCAGGAGACTGGCTGCTGGAGTGTACAGCTCTGACCCTGTCAGATCCTGAGGGGACAAAAACAGTTCATGGACTGTTACAGACAATTAGCTACTAGAAGTTTCCTGAATGCCTGAATCATGCTGTTGACCAAAACCTCTGGACCTGACACTTCTGTGTTCCATTCAAGGATTAATGTCCCCCCTTTTTTTAAGAAAGGAAGAGTGTATTTGGGATCACAGATTCAGAGGGTAAGAGTCCATCATGTCTGGGAAAGCATGGCATGGGCATAGGAACAGGAATTTGGCAGATTATATTTCTTCTACACACAGGAAGCAGAAAAAATTGGTAGGAAGTGAGGTGAGGATATAAATGCTCAATGCCTACCCAGTGATGTACTTCCTCCACCAAAGATCAACCGCCTAAAAGTTCCATAACCTCCAAACCCCATCATCAGCATGGAACCGAGTGTTCAAACACATAAGCCTAAGGAAGCCACTTCTCACTAAAAACACCACACCATCTATGGCTTGTATCATACAGACATGACGTTGATTCAGCCAATCACCAGAACCTGAGCCTCATCTCCATGTTTAAAACCGGAACATAGACTTCACATACTATAATCACTGGTAACTAACAGAATGAACACATGATGGTATCCCCTAAGACTTTAATCAACTTCTATTATGTAACACATTAGCCAGTTTTCTGAAACAGTGACCAAAACACCTAAGATAAAGCCACTTAAAAAGAGGAAAAAAGTTCACTTTGACTAATGATTTCAGCCCATAATCACTTGGTTCTCTGTTGGGCCTGTGGCAAGGTAGCATATTATAGCAGAAGTACTCAGTGAATAAAGGTGTTAGCCCAAGGTGGGCTAGAACACAAACAGAAGATGAGGATTCTAATATCCTTTACTGAGGCCCTTCAGTCATCTAATCCCCCACTACAACCCACCCTTCACCAGTTCTTCCATCCAGAGCAGTACAAGCTGCTAACGCAACCTCTAGCAGTAGACCTTTGGAGGACACTTAATCTATGCTGCAATATTTAAACTTATTCTTTGAAAAGTTCTTACACGTATACAGTGTATCATCCTACTCCCTTCTACTAACTCCACCAACACAGTTCTTTGCCAAGTTTCTATCCTTTTAAAAGAATAACCCACTGAGTTCAGTTATCATGTTCAATGTTAGACCACGTTCTTACTATTGCTCCACTGTGGGGCAGTACCCCACAGGAAGTGACTGCAGGAAAATACAGATTCCACCCTCCCCAATGCTTTCCAAAAACAGGAACAGGCCAAACATCATGCAAAATGTCGTTCCTGCCCTTCCAGGTCATAGCCACGTCAGGGGATAGAGGGCTGGGGGAGGTGGGGGGTGGGAGGTGGGGGCGGAGGTCAGAGCAGAGCCTGACTGCATTTGCTAGAGCTCCAACTACAGAAAGCCCTGTATGAGGGAAAGCTCAGGCACCAATGGTGGCAAGCCACTTGACACAACAAAACCCAGGTGCTAACCATTCAGCACTCTATCTAGAGGAGTGCTGAGGTTGGTAAACAATTAGCTCCATTTTCTAGGTCACAAAACTGAGTCATGCAGAAATTTAGTATTGTGAGGACTATATCCAAAGAAGTTTAGCTGCCAAGTGTGTATACCGAAGCATAATACAGACACTGTCTTGCTCACTGCCTTTCTCAGACAGGAGCAATACCACAAAGACACCTGCACTCTTGGCTCTAAGTAGCAGGGGTCAATCTGAGACCCACAAGTTCTACCCAAGTTCTCTTTCCACAATGACTCCTGGGGGTATAAAAGGGTGGCTGGATGTAGGAAGGAGTTAATAGTGATGTATCCATAACCAGAAAGCCGCTGACAGAATCTAAAGGAAGAAAAGATAGATGGAAAAGGATGGGACAGTGGACAAAACATGGGAAAGGAACTCATGCTTAACAAGACAAGAAGAAAAGTGGAGGCCATCCTCAACTGAGCAGGGAGTGAAGGGAGGGGCCATCCTCAACTGAGTAGGGAGGGAGGGGCCATCCTCAACTGAGCAGGGAGGGAGGGAGGGGCCATCCTCAACTGAGCAGGGAGTGAAGGGAGGGGCCATCCTCAACTGTGCAGGGAGTGAAGGGAGGGGCCATCCTCAACTGAGCAGGGAGTGAAGGGAGGGGCCATCCTCAACTGAGCAGGGAGTGTAGGGAGGGGCCATCCTCAACTGAGCAGGGAGGGAGGGAGGGGCCATCCTCAACTGTGCAGGGAGTGAAGGGAGGGGCCATCCTCAACTGAGTAGGGAGGGAGGGAGGGGCCATCCTCAACTGAGTAGGGAGGGAGAGAGGGGCCATCCTCAACTGAGCAGGGAGGGAGGGGCCATCCTCAACTGAGCAGGGAGGGAGGGGCCATCCTCAACTGAGCAGGGAGGGAGGGGCCATCCTCAACTGAGCAGGGAGGGAGGGGCCATCCTCAACTGAGCAGGGAGGGAGGGGCCATCCTCAACTGAGCAGGGAGGGAGGGGCCATCCTCAACTGAGCAGGGAGGGAGGGGCCATCCTCAAATGAGCATGGAGGGAGGGAGGGTCCATCCTCAACAGAGCAGGGAAGGAGGGAGGGGCCATCCTCAAATGAGCATGGAGGGAGGGAGGGTCCATCCTCAACAGAGCAGGGAAGGAGGGAGGGGCCATCCTCAACTGAGCAGGGAAGGAGGGAGGGGCCATCCTCAACTGAGCAGGGAGGGAGGGGCCATCCTCAACTGTGCAGGGAATGAAGGGAGGGGCCATCCTCAACTGTGCAGGGAATGAAGGGAGGGGCCATCCTCAACTGTGCAGGGAGTGAAGGGAGGGGCCATCCTCAACTGAGCAGGGAGGGAGGGAGGGGCCATCCTCAACTGTGCAGGGAGGTAGAGGCCATCCTCAAATGAGCATGGAGGGAGGGAGGGGCCATCCTCAACAGAGCAGGGAAGGAGGGAGGGGCCATCCTCAACTGAGCAGGGAGGGAGGGAGGGGCCATCCTCAACAGAGCAGGGTAGGGTGGGCATCCTCAACACAGCAGGGGTTAAGGAGGGGCATCCTAGACTGAACATGGAGGGAAGGGGGGACATCTTCTATGGAGAAGTGAGAAAAAGAGGGAGGGACACTCTGAACAGAGCAAGGAGTGAGCAAGTTCTCTAGGGATGAAGCAGAAGCTAAGAATATAAAGCCTTAACTTTAAAAAGATGGTATCAGATCATCTTAAACCCAAGACCTTAACAACAGAAAGGAACAGCTAATGACAAGAAAACAGCTAATGGGAAGCTAGAGGGCGAACAAAGAAAACTGAATTCCAACCTCAGTGTTTCACCGAACCATGACAAGCTCTGGCCTGCAATTCCTCCATTTACTTGACAGCCATGAACTAGAGGCCCAGTGCTGAGCAGCAGATAGGCAGCCATAAGACAGCAGTGACACACCTCAGAGGACTCAGGGTGAACGGCACACAGAAGGAAACAGACAGAGGCCTCACCAATGACCCTACAGCGTGCCTAGTAAGGGGCCCACAATATGGGTCTACAGAGCATGGCCTCAGGAAACACATCTAGTGAGAGGGAGAAGCAGCCATAGCAGCACAGAAGAGCTGAGGATAACTGTCAGGGTTTTGACAGAGCCACACACTCTGTTCAGGCACTGAACTGGATCTGACATCTCCCATAAGACACCACTCCATTGCCACTCACGTGGCGTATCACACATGAGTATTAACGCAAGCTCAAGGGTTTCTGTACTCTGGCCAGTATTAAAAGTTAATGAGAAAGTGAAAAGAGCTAGACCTTATGATCATTACTTTCATTTTTGAGAAATTTATCCTGCAGAGACATCATGAAATGTGTAAAGTGACACCATATAAGCAAACAGCTGGAAATAGATCCAGCAGAGAAAATCTAAGGCAATCAGGGCAGGGCCAGGAGACACCCCTCAGAGCTTAAAAAAAAAACCCCTGTGAGCTGTGAGATGCGGGAGACGAGGTGCTGCAGTGTGGTTATTAGAACAGCGCTTCTGGAACACACTGCCAGATTCTAACCACTGTTCCAAAGCTAGTTTAGCTCCAGCCCTGCGGACAGGAGGCTATGATAACTGCCACAAAGACACCGGGAGGTGCCTGATGCCTGTGTGTCTACCGAGGGTCATCTGCCACCACTCCATCTCTACTCGCGCTGCACGCATCAGCTCCACAGTGTGTCCAGAGGTCAGTATCAGGTATCTTCTTAGATCACATTCCTTCTTACATTTTCACGTAGGTTCCTCACTGAACCGGAAGTATGCCAACTCAAGTAGACTGGCTGGCCAGAGAGCACCTGGATCCTCTGTCTCTACCTCCCTGGTGCTGTCCTTAAGGGCACCCACAATTATTTCTGGGCTTTCCCACAGGTCCTTATTCTCTCACAGCAAAGACTTTACCCACCGAGTCATCTCTCCACCCAGGAAGGATGGTTAAAGATAATACATACAGTAAGCAAGCATGGGTGAAAACAGGACTACATATTCATGTTGTTTGAACATACAAATCTCTTCAACACGCATTTAACAGCGGTTACTTATAACTTCTAGCTGGGAGGTTCACACTACATAAGAAATTAAAACATCTGATACTAGACCATGCTGTTTACAGACTGTTTAAGCAGAAACCTTGCTGGCATTCTGAGTCAGCTACGTACTAACTGGAACTGGTTTGCTTTCATCAGACACACTTCATATAAACAAACTTGCAAGCATTATTAAAGGAACAAGGAAGTAGCCCTGGTCTTTACAACTAGAACAGTGGCTCTCAACCTTCCCAATGCGGTGGCCTTTTAATACAGTTCCTCATGGTGTGATGATCCCCCAACCACACAATTATTTTCATTGCTACTTCATAACTGTCATTTGCTACTGTTACGGGTCATAATGTAAAGATCTGCTGTGAAGGCTATTTGATATGTGACCCCCGTGAAAGGGTCATCACCCCCATAGGGGGCACGACACACAGGTGAGAACCAATGATCTAGATGACGCTAGTGACAAAAGCATAGCGAGCAGCATGAACACGTTGCCCTCACAACTATTACTGAATGGGCTATTTAGGTCCTACATATTGTCTACGCATATTTGCTCCTACTGCCCAGCGCTCCTGTGATACTCCCCAACCCGCTGGCTATGCCGGATCCGAATTCAGCAACCCAGCTTCTGATTTTTCCCCCTCAGGCTCTGAGAAGACAGCGTGGAAGAAAGGAAAGATTACATTTATGACTCAGTGAAAGTTTAAAAGAAAACAAAGACAACAGTTGTCAATTTTAAAGGCACTACTTGTATCTCAACTGTTGTTAATTACTGTAGAATATATCTACTTTTCTGCTATAGTCTGGACGATGGACCCCCAAGCCTTCATACATGATAAATACATGCTCACAGAAATGCCTACAGCCTTACGTGGGTTTAATTCCATTACATGCCTGTACGATAAAGAAGCAACTCTGAATTTTCCACACTGTAACTTTTCAACTTTGTCAGAAATCCAAGCTGTGTTTCCATGTTCTGCCTCTAGGTGGCAGTTACGCCTCATAAAACAAGATACTCTGAAACTAGGGGGAAAAGATCTTAGCAGTCTTCCAGCTTTGAAAAACCGTGTCTTACATTTTTTTTAAAAGATTAAAAGTCTGAAAGATAAAAGAATAGCTTATTCCTTCTAGAAAAGGATTATATTAATTTAAATAGTTTAGAGGAACAGTTAGGAAGTTCAAAATTAGAAACTTTCAACTCTATTAGATTAAACAAAAACAAAAGTCTCACATAGTGCAGAATCAGGGTGAAGATTAAAATGCAGTATTTCTGTGTTTCATTAATTTTGCTCAACTTCTTTTTAGTACTATATACATTTCAGACAATTTTGTATTGCCTATTGTTTCTCCTTCAAGCACTACATAGTTTCAGATTATTTTACCCTCAAATGTGAGAGGAAAGAAAAACCATATTTAAACAAAAACCAATTAAAATGCAGAATTGTGGAACCAAGTTATCAACCACACAACTACTGCTACTAGGGCTTTGGGATCACTGAGGAAGAGGAGGTGGGACGATTTTAAGAGCCAAAGGAACATGGAGTTTGCTGTAAGACTGTCTCTTAGGTATGTCAGAAGCGACACCCATGAAGTCTCACCACCACGCCTGCCCAAACGTGAGTTGAACAAGGAGGGCACCCATACACATACCAGTGTGGAAGCGGAAGGGAGCTCATCAGGCCTCAACCCTACACACAAAACAACAACAGGAAACTGAGGAATGTCCAGCTGGAGAAACAGTCTTCAACTATAGGTTGGTTATCTAATACCAAATGTCCAGCCGTTAAAATATACATACAAGGAACATTACAGACTGAGCAGGCTGTGTTTATCAAAAAGAAGTCACAAGTTTGAAAGAGAGCAAGAAGGGGTATAGGCAGGCTTTGGAGGGAGAAGGGGAATGAAGGAATCTTAAAAAAAAACAAATGAAGGCCTAACAAAAATAGTCTCAAACTTTAAATGTCAACTTGCAGGGGATCAGTTTTTACTTATGGATCTTGCATGCCTATGGGGGTGGGGAATGAATGCCATGGATGGGTCCTAGGAATTGAGCTCAGACCTTCAGACTTGGCAACAGGTGCTGCATCCACTGATCGAGCTCACAGGCCCATGACTGCTTTCATTAACAGTCACAAAAGAGTGAGCTGTGAATTCACAGAAACTAGACACCTTGTGATGGAAATCAGTAGCTAGTAACGCTAACTTAAAGCAAACAGGGTAAATATAATAAGAAGAAGAGGAAGAGGAGAAGGAAGAGGAATAGGAGGAAAAAAGAAGAGGAGGAGGAGCTTCTAACGATACATACTCCATCACCCATCAAATGTCCCAAGAGTATGCATGTTGAAGGACGGGTATGTTGGATACAGTATAAGTGCACTGTTTACAGCTGTGAGCAAAGATTCATGATGTCACTGACAAGACAATTCTATCACCTGCAAAATAACCTATCCACTTCACTGCCTCATCTGCCAGTAGACCAGGAAAGGCATTAAAACAAAACAGAAAGGAAAACGAAGCAAACACTGAGGAAGGTTACTATAATCTGGGCTTGCCTCAAGATCCCTTCTAGTGGTAAACGCTACCATATTTAAAAAATTCAACAGGTATATGTACCACGATCCCTCTTACTTGGATAAAATACTGCCTAGACACCAGATTCAGAGTTGGAACTAAGTAAAACAGGGAAGTCCTGGCTATTTTTGGGCAATGTCTCTCTCAGACCTGCAGTGATTCCTGTTTGCTACACACACACACACACACACACGCACGCACGCACGCACGCACGCACGCACGCACGCACACACACACACACACACACACACACACACACAACCAAGATGTTAGCACCACGTAACAACCACAAATAACAAGTTAGTTAGTTCGAGCAAAACTAAGGTGGGTCATTTCAGCATGGTGTGCTCAGGAGTAAGAATAAAGCAAGTGCCTTAGTATTTAAGAGACCTCATCTCATGTATTAATAGAAGTTACTTTACAAAGTGACTATTGGGCAACAGCAATGGTGAATGTGGGCAGAATGGGGCTGACTATCCATCAAAGTGAAGACCCTGCTTCAATACTGTTCGTGCAGACACAAAACTCTAAGTCATTACTATTCATCCCCAGATCCTTCCTCAACTCAAAAGTCCAGAACTATGGATGTATGGTCAGAAAGCCAGGAGTAGGAAAAGCAGTAAGGTATCTCCATGTCTTAAGGAGGTCAGAACCTAGCTGATCTGATACCGTACAGCGTTTACCAGAGCATCCTCTACCAAGCACAGGCTCGTTCATTTCACTTGGTAGTAACTCAATTTCCCTTGAAATCCAGAATCACCTCTTACATAATTAAACGGAGCCATTTGTGTTAAGTTAAAAAGTAAATTCTTCGGTTGAGCTTAATTATGCATAGAAACGCATTAGAATATTTAGTATTTATGCATCAAGCTAACAACAGCCACACCATTAGCACAGCGTAGTTGCCCAGGGAGCCGCACTGAATGGTGGTGATGTTCTCATCCGAGTAGAGTATACAGCACCCGTCTGACTTCCAGCCTCCTTGTCCGTTCAGCAAATCAAAGTCCCACTGCGCTGCAACAGCATCTGCTCCATGCGCGATTCGTCGCAGTGTCACATTAACAGGGATGTGGTGGGTATCTACGGTCACACCATCTGGAGAAAATGGGGAAAAGCGGTATTTCTCAAACAAACTTCATAAACAAGTAAATGCCAACTTATACACCGATGGGCACTCAGCAAGATCTTTTTTCACCAGTGACTCGTTAAAGCAACAAAAAAAAAAAATAAGCTTTTTAAAGGAAGCTCAACCAATAAAGCCATGGTGCCCCACAACCACCGGGTAACATCTGCCACACACACCTATTTTTGTGAGGATCACAGGGGTCACTACTGTCCGCCGCTTGCCATCATCGGCCAACTTTGTTGAATTCCCAGTGGCTGGAAAAAGCTTTCCATTGCGGAACGCAATGAGTTGAAGTTTGTAGAGCGAGTCATCAGTTGCTCTGACTTCTCGTTTTTGTTTCGGTGAGAAAAGGGAGGAAGGAAGCTGAATAGAAGCCTCCATGATAGTATTCTGGAAAAAAACAACAAAACCACATACATATATTATAAAGCTCAGCATATTAGTATACACGGCTGCAGCACGGAGCATTAAACAGACCAAGGATTTCAGTGGTCACTCATCAGTTTTACAGTGAACAAGAGCGATCGGGAGGGACAAATGCAGCCAGGCTCACGCAATATAAGAACAGAATTTTACAGAGAAAATAGAAGTTTAAATTCAACACACTCTTATTTTAGCATCCATTTCTTTGAGAGGAAGGAACCAGTGCTTGGAAAAACATAAACAGAAGGAACTGACCATGCTAGAAGACCACAGAATGTGTCCTCATCTCTTCACACTTGTTCTCAATCAAAAGGCAAAGCAGCAACGCTTTCAGTGTTTGTTGTAGGTTTCAAGTTACACAGCATTCAACAACAACCACAATTCTATATACCCAGGAGCTAACAAGTAACCAACCTGAAAATATTCACTAAGGGTTGAATTTATCACAAAGCCATTCTCTTGGCCACCACCCCCTTTTCCCTCAAAGCCAATCTTCTGGGCACCAAAAGGATTTCCTCTTGAAGGACATAGGTGACTATTATTTTACTTTAATAATACTTTGCTTCTGAACTGTCTAGAGAATACTGCAACTAATTCTAAGCTACCATATAATTTGACTAAGATGCTGCTTAAATCCACGTCCTACCTCGCCTGCAGCAGCATGAGCTCACAGCTGCAGTCCTCTGCTCTCCACACACCTCGCGGAGGGCAGACAGAGCCCTGACTGCTCTACCCAACCATACCCCACTCGCTATTCTGCTGCCTGACAAACTCTTGAATCCATCCACTTGACTTGCTATTAACAAAATAATTCTGTTGACAATGGGAGACGCAGATCAGAACGCATGGCTGGAAGCTAAGAGAAAGACTTCACAGGAGTTCTGAGCAGCGTGCTCTCTCTGGTGGAAGAGTCAGTCCAATAGCTGTCCCGCTTCTGGATAGTGTGCACACCTGTGCATACAATCAAAGCCTACAGATTCAACAAGTGCCTCACCCTCTGTTCATTAACTAGACAGGATGGAATGTGGGCTACAGATAAAACTATGCATTTTTATCACCTATGTACTATTTCCTGTCACGTTTACTGAAAATAGCTCACTGTTAATAAGTTTAACCAAGTCAACATGGCATGTGTACTGAAAAAATTTTTTAAAGATTCTACTGAAGCAAATGATTGACTTTGTAATTACTTAAGTAAGTGCTCTGCTTACAATGCAGGCACAGCAGATATTTGACAATAATCTGTTGGGTATTATTCAAGAAATTTGCATATCACTTTTAAATTAAAGATGTCATGAAAATATCTGTCAGAATTATTGTCTAAGAAAAACCATTCAAAGGTTTCTACTATTACAAATATAAGATGACAAAAATCCCTCCCCTCAGAGCTCAGGGAATTCAATGGAGAGGAGGAGGCTGCAAGAGTTTAAGAATAAGGTCCTCTAATTCAACTGAGCAAGGCTCATCTGAGCTCACAGGGACTGAAGCAGTAAGCACAGGGCCTGCACAGGTCTACACCAGGTCCTCTAGATAAATATTATAACATTAGCTTAGTATTTTTATGGGACTCCTGACTGTGAGAATCAGTGGGTCTGTGACTCTTGTGCCTACTCTTGGGACTCTTTTCCTCACATTGGGTTGTCCTGTTGAACTTCAATATGATGTTATCTCTTAGGGGCCTGATCTTTTCTAATGAGAAACAGAAAGGGAGTGGTTTTGGGGGGTGGGGGAGCTGGGAGAAGTAGAGGGAGGGGAAACTGTAATCAAGATATATTGTATTAGAAAAGAACCTATTTTCAATACAATGAAAAGATAAAAACCAAATATAAAATCAAAGTTTATATGAATCCACTCATTTATTAACCTAATAAGTTTTCTGTAAAATATATAAATTTCTCTTACATATATAAGAATCTACCTAAATATGAAAATCAAAATATTAATTAAAAGTTCATAATCCTACATAATAGAGACTTATTCAAATAACCACAAAATTCATAAAATAATCTTACTAAAGAACTCAAGAGTATTTGAAAAGTATATAGAGCTCTCTATAAGAGTATTAGTAATGATAAACCAAACTGAATTTTAAAACGTCAGAACTAACATTTTCTAAAGAAGAGTTGAAAAAATGAAACATAATGCTTTGAAATTGAGGGGGAAAAAGTCCAA